GGGGGGGGGGGGGGGGGGGGGGGGGGGGGGGGGGGGGGGGGGGGGGGGGGGGGGGGGGGGGGGGGGGGGGGGGGGGGGGGGGGGGGGGGGGGGGGGGGGGGGGGGGGGGGGGGGGGGGGGGGGGGGGGGGGGGGGGGGGGGGGGGGAGGCACAATAACCATCCTTTCCCATCGAACGAAGGAGTACAAAGTTTCAAAACGGTTGAAAAAGAGGTCAAAGAATGAGGCAAAACAGCAACCACTGAATGGTTCCTCGCTGAAGATAAAATTGTGCAAATGAGGAAATAGGGAGTTGAGGGGTCTATCTCTCAACCACTATCCTCCTAGAAAAAAGTATCATTCCCATCAACCACTAAACAATGAACCAAAAGAGGAAAGAAACGAAGCACCTCAGCAATACCTTTCCCAGGGTTTTGGAAGTGCCTTTGTCCAACCTTCCCTCGTGCTATTCATGATAAGATAAGGAACCACTACAAGGGGAGTAAGATTCGGATTACCTTGTTGATCGAATATCTCAAGGCAAGAACACTTGTTTGAGATTCGAATCACTCCACAAGCAAGATCGATCATATCTAGCTTGAATGATTCTTGTTGATCAAATATCTCAACGCAAGAACACTTGTTTGAGATTCGAATCATTCCACAAGCAAGATTGATCATGTTGAGCTTGAATGATTCTACATGCAACCTAAACTACATAGAATTGCAAAGAAACTTAGCCATTGGCTAAAGAAAGCACAAATGCTCCTTTTACTATATTTTTCAAGTCTCTTACAAATACAACATACATGGCTTTATATAGCCTCAAAATGAAACTACTAGTCATTCCAAGAGTTGTAACATTCATACTTAATGGTCATAATTAACCATCATGTAATTGTAACCTAAAGTAAATAAAAAATCCACTCTAAATTGTAACCCATCCAAAATTTATAACAATCAAACTTCATTCTTCTTCAATGTGGCATGAATTGAAACATCTTTTGATAATTTTGACAACCTTTTCTTCACATCTTCATTGAAGTATATTGTATGATTGATGTTTTTTTGGTTCATATCATTCTCCACTTCTTCAAGAGGATTCGTCCTCGAATCTATTTGTGAAACTTTGCTGCAAAAAATAAGTTATGGAAATACAAAGGACCTCACAACACTCTCTCACGTGTATACACTCAAGGAATTTTAGGCCACTCTTTTTAAACTCAGTTACACAAATGAAGCTCTCATTCTCACCTCTCAAAATTTGAAATAGAGCAAAGATTGAATTTTGAATTCTGGGTCGATTAAAAACTAAAAGGATAAAAATAAATAAAAATCAAATTGAAAAAAAAAAATGCAAAGGAAACATATATCCGATCTTGAGCCTGAAGCTCTGATACCAAATGATAAGATAAGGAACCACTACAAGGGGAGTAAGATTCGGATTACCTTGTTGATCGAATATCTCAAGGCAAGAACACTTGTTTGAGATTCGAATCACTCCACAAGCAAGATCGATCATATCTAGCTTGAATGATTCTTGTTGATCAAATATCTCAACGCAAGAACACTTGTTTGAGATTCGAATCATTCCACAAGCAAGATTGATCATGTTGAGCTTGAATGATTCTACATGCAACCTAAACTACATAGAATTGCAAAGAAACTTAGCCATTGGCTAAAGAAAGCACAAATGCTCCTTTTACTATATTTTTCAAGTCTCTTACAAATACAACATACATGGCTTTATATAGCCTCAAAATGAAACTACTAGTCATTCCAAGAGTTGTAACATTCATACTTAATGGTCATAATTAACCATCATGTAATTGTAACCTAAAGTAAATAAAGTCTTAAAATACATAAATGAAATACAATAACTCTAAATTGTAACCCATCCAAAATTTATAACAATCAAACTTCATTCTTCTTCAATGTGGCATGAATTGAAACATCTTTTGATAATTTTGACAACCTTTTCTTCACATCTTCATTGAAGTATATTGTATGATTGATGTTTTTTTGGTTCATATCAATTCATTAGGACTGTTAGCATTACATGGGCTTATAACATGGTTATTTAGTTCAGTGTTAGTTTCTAATGTGAATACATTGTATTTAATATTTATGTTTGATTATTTTTATAAGTATAAATATTTTTTCCTTTTCCCTTTAGAAAGCCCAAAATTGTAACATTTTTATTTTATGGCTAACCGAATAACACTTTCGCCCATCATATGTGCAGGCTAGAAAAGAAACGAATGACTAAGCTTCAGTCTCCGAATTTTCATGTTTCAAGAACTAGGCTCGTTATACACAATTTACCAAAATCAATGAAAGAAAAGGAACTTCAAAAACTTTGCATCGAAGCTGTTACCTCGCGAGCTACAAAGCAAAAACCTGTGATTCGCCAGGTCTGACCTTTCCAGAAATGTAGGAAATCCATTCGATGTTATCGATATTTTATCCCTAACTTTTAATCTTATTTTGCAGATTAAATTCTTGAAGGATGTGAAGAAAGGAAAGGTCTTGACAAAAAATTACTCTTGTGGAGTTGCTTTCGTCGAGTTTTCTGAGCATCAGCACGCCCTTGTAGCCCTGCGAGTTCTCAACAACAATCCAGGTAATAATTTCTCTCATTTGATAATCCTTAATTCTCGACGCCTCTAAAATTAGTGTGAGGAGGCAGCCCTTGAAAAAAAACTAATGGTTCTTCGAACGCTGGAACCTACCTTGTGGTTTTAATAGGAGCAGTAGCATAGTTTGCACCTTATCCTATTCTAAAATAAATATCTGGTTTCTTGTAGAAACTTTTGGCCCTGTGAATCGCCCGATCGTAGAATTCGCTGTAGACAACGTTCAGATGTTGAAGCTACGGAAAGCAAAGTTACAAGCTTCGTATCAGGACAATACTGCCAACGTTCCCAAAGCACTGCATCGTAATGCTGATACAAATGCTGGGGATATACATTCAAACAAGACGAACTCCAGAAAAAGGAAAGCAACAGGCGATAATCGTCCAGTAAAGGAGAAAAATCGCAACGAAAACAAAAATGGCGATCATGTATCCAATGATATGGCGATGGAAGAAAGTAGAGCTAGAAAAAAGAGGAAAACGCGTCCAGAAAGTGGTAATATAAATGAGTCACAGAAACAAAAACCAGAAGGACGAAGATCAATGCCTGAAAAATTGAGCAAGAGATCGGCACCCATGGATACTGTGAAAACAAAAGCTTCTCAGGAAGCTGATGTACAACACAAAAAGAAGGCAAAACATCAAGTAGAGCAGCAGCAGAAAAGCTTCTCAGGAAGCTGATGTACAACACAAAAAGAAGGCAAAACATCAAGTAGAGCAGCAGCAGCAGAGGAAGAGGGCAAAGAAAAACAAGTTACCAGTAGGACAGGATGCCGTTGATAAACTCGATAAACTTATCGAACAATATCGATCCAAGTTCTCGCAGAAGAGTTCGGATCCAGCAGATGGTGAAAAGAAAGGCTCTAAACAGGTTAGAAGATGGTTCCAATCATAAACAGGTTAGAAAATTTTGCAGGATGGCTAAGGATTGTTCCTTCGATCATTTAATGTCACACACACTTAATTGCTATGAAATATGTATGGATAAAGCTTAATTGCATAGTAAGTGTAACATATAGTATTTATTAGTTCCATATTTTGTATTGGATTCTTAAAAAAACATTGATTTAGTGAGAAATTTAAATTGTCTTATTTAAACTTTAAATTTTGTATTCTAAATCTTGTGTTTAGTAGTTTCGAGAATTTTAAAGGTATCGAACATCGAGAAATTTAACATTTAAATTTGTGTCCGATAAATTTGTACCTATTTAACATTTTTTTAAGTTGAATTTTGTGTCTAAATTTTTAACTGTATATACAATATATATTTTTAAAAATGTCAAATAAGGAAAAATATATTACTAATTAAAAGTTCAAAAATCTCGAAAATTTAGAAAATTAAGCTCATAAATATTATTTAAGTAGGTTACACATTTTTAAATCCATAGAAAAAAAACAATAAGTCTAAATGTTTTCTTAAGAATATTTTTAAAAATAAAAAAACTAAAATGATATCAAATAAAGTCTTAAAATTCTATTATATAGCTTTTAAATTTTAATAATCTAATAAATAAAAAATTGAAAATTTATAAATTTATAAAAGAAATTGAAAATTTTGATAAAAGCTTTGTAATTTAGTCTACAATTTAATAAATTGTAAAATATAATTTGATTACAAAATGAGTTCTTAAATTAAAAAATTGTGCCTAAATTTATTTTCCAATATATATGTCAACTTTTAATTTTGTATTTAATTGTTAATTTAAAATTTTAAAGGTTAATTGATTTATTATATGTGAAATTTGTGATTTTATAAGTTAATAATTAAATAAATAAATAAAATTAAAATTTAGGGAATAAATTTATAATTTCGAAAGAAAAAAAAAGAAAATACTGTTACAAAATCTGGCCTCATTTTCTCCGCCGTCGCGAACTATTTTTGGCTTTGGCATATGCTGCCACGTGACAACCAAATCCACTCTTCCGCCGGACACTTCCCTTCTCTTTTGGCTTTGGCATATGCTGCCACGTGACAACCAAATCCACTCTTCCGCCGGACACTTCCCTTCTCACCGACGACATTGCAGGTAAACTCCGGCGACTAGATTTCCGGCGAAATTAATTCTTTATGATCATCCATCCTGTTACTTCTTCCTTTCATTAGCTTCTATGAAACTTCTTTCGATTTTGCTTCTTCTCTTCTAATTCCAGGGCTCGCTTTTGATGGCCAAACCCAAGGCTCCGAGGCAAACCCTAGATTCTTACACTGTCAAACGCATCAACAAAACCATCAAGGGTAAAACAATCCACTCTTTCTTCTTCCTCTTCTTCTTTTTTGTTGGAATCTTTCAGATGGTTCCGTTTTGGCGTCTGTTTCTGATCTTGCGGAATTTTTCGGACTTTTGTTCTTAGCCGGCGATTGCGTGCTCATGAGGCCCCCCGAACCCTCGAAGCCGTCGTATGTAGCAAAGATTGAGAAGATTGAGGCTGATTCTCGTGGGGCCAATGTGAAGGTCCATATTCGCTGGTATTACCGACCGGAGGAATCAATTGGCGGTCGGAGACAGTTTCATGGGTCGAAGGAATTGTTTCTCTCCGACCATTACGACGTTCAAAGTGCCGACACCATCGAGGGGAAGTGTACGGTTCATTCATTTAAGAGTTATACCAAGCTTGATGCCGTTGGAAATGAAGATTATTTTTGCCGCTTCGACTATAGTTCCACTACCGGAGCTTTCAATCCGGATCGAGTGGCTGTGTGAGTTTCTTCTAGAATTTGTATTGTATTGCATAATCTGTTGATTGTGTTTGGCATTAAGTACTCCTGAGATGTGATCATTCTGACCTCACTTCACATGGGAAGAAATTGGTTTCTTCAGGTTTTCTGCTCATAACTCTCTGAACTGATGTTCTTATTGCCATTTTTCATTGTAGGCATGTCACTCTTTACTTAAAGATCGATTTTCTTTCAGGATTCCTTTCTTTTTACTGTATTATACACATATGTTCATATCTCACGTTAGCCATTTAAGCTCATGAATCTTCTTTTTGCGCATAGCTTTACCTGATTCTCCTGGTGCAAAATTTCAGTTGATTTTTTGTTGCAGGTATTGCAAATGTGAGATGCCTTATAATCCCGACGACCTAATGGTTCAGTGCGAGAGCTGCACTGATTGGTAAGCTGACTGTTTATGATGCTATTGATTTCATTTGCAGCCTTAACACATGCTTGTGAAGGTATTTGTTGTTCATAGGGGCGTGCCCGTGTTCTATATTCAGGGCATACGGAATAGTAAAATAATCAAAGTAAAGTAAGTTCATGAAATTTAGCCAGTAGTATAATAATGAGCTCTCTATCTTTCAAATCCTAAATTTGAAGTCTCCCATCTTGATTTGTAAGTACATCTATAAACATGATCCCCTGTTTTCTCAGATTGGTGGTACTTTCAGCTTTCTTATATTAGTGATGGAGTAAAGATTGTAAAATAGAGTTTCGAAAAACAATAGGCGATTAGCTAAATGAATAGTATGGTTCCAAATGCAATGTTTCCAAAATGCTGGATGCACTCTGATATGTTTCAACTCGAACAATAAGCTTTAGTGAGCTCATTTATATCATAAAAGGATATCTGAAATTCAAGTTTTTAAAGTTTCATATAAATCTTTTCTTATTAGAATCTTCATTTGGAGGACTTTACGTAAACCTGTTTGTAATTACACCACATTTCTTCTTTGATTAAGATTAGTATTTCTTTCTGTAACCCCATTTGAGAGGGTTTGTGGGCTGCTGTTGGATGTAGTTCTTTCTTTTTTTTCTTGTTTGTAATTACACCACGTTTTGGAATAATCTATATTTGGTTTTTTGTAGTCATCTCTCATTGGCAACCCCTTAAACAAGGAAAAAAGAAATCATGTGGCTCCAGCTCTCTAGATCTATTTTATGAATCTAATCTTTGGTTGGAAAGGAACAATGGGATTTTAATGGCAAAGGAAACCCATATTGACAAATTCTTTAACAACGTTTTTCATCAGCCAAATTATACTTTTGGTTCAATAGCTATAGTTTAGTTGAAGTTTACAATAATTGGAGTGTTTTTGTGATCTTCCATGGTTTGGGTCTTAGTTTTCCCTATTTGTAATTCTTAAAAAAACTCGTCTTCTAGGCTAAGTTGAACATAGCTTCGTTGGTTAAGACATTATATTCTCGATTAAAAGGTCAGAGATTCAAATCTTCCACCTTTACACGTTAATCACAAAAGGAAAAAATAGAATAAGATAAAACCCGTCTTTTAGAGCTGGTCTTGAGTGGGCGAAGCCTTCCTATAGATTGTTGGACTGTGTCATTAGCATAATGTAAGAAATTGATCCAGATGGCATATATAAACGAGGAAATAGAACAATAAATCTGCTTTCGTTTCACTTACCTTTGAGGTTTCTACATCGATTCTTAAAGCGGATGATATTCTTGATTTAGGTTTCATCCCGCTTGTATAGAAATGACTGCAGAAGAAGCTAAAAAACTTGACCACTTCTTCTGTGAAAGCTGTTCTTCAGAGGATCAAAAGCTGCAGAGTTCACAGTCTACATCTAAATTTGCAGAGACAAAGGTATTTCTGAACCTGCTGAAAATAAATGCTCTTTGTTAAATGTCACTGTTTCGAAATTTGGGGTCGAACTTTATAATCTAATTCCACGTTGTGATATTTTAAACTATCCCCCGTTTCATAGATCCTTAACGTAGCATGTGACAGTCGTGTCATGCACATACTTTTTTGGTTGTTGGTTGAAGTTCATTCTTATCTTAGGTATTTCTCCTTGTTTGGGTGATAGAATGGGCAGTATTTCTCCTTGAAGAAGTCATATTGCTTGACTAGAAGCTAACAATAAAGGTAATGTAGATAATAAAATGGCAAAAAGTGGATGCCACCTACTTAAGGTTTGATATCCTTTAATGTTTCGTTAACCATCAATGTGTTATGGTCTGACCGTTGTCTCGTGAAAATAGTTCAAAAATGTCACAAGCTAGCTCGAACACTTGCATAACTAACTTGGAGACCTATTAACACATGGAAGTGTTACTAGCGGTGTATAAGTTAGATAATCTAATCTGGTTCAATCGTTCATTTTGTTTTAGTTAGTTTCGTTCATGAGTCTTTAGAGCGATAATTCTAAATGTGGCTATTACTTTCCAGCTATGGGAATATGGTTGTCATGATGAATATATGTTTTAACATTATTTCAGGTGGATACCAAACGACGCCGGAGGTGACGATAGTGTAAATATACAAAATACGGTGACTTAGAGTCGTTAAGAACCAACGAGAAGAGCATCTAACTTTCTAATGAGTTGGAACAAGTGCATATAGATGTAGGATTGTGCATATACTACTAGCTCTAGAGTGTTGACATTCATTGCAGGTAGAGAGAGACTGGTTTGAAATGTATCGAAGTTCTTTTATTACAATGAACCGAACTAAACTGAACCAAACCGAACCGAACCGAACCAAACCCTTTGTTTCATTTCCTGCAAAACTTCATGTGGGGTTGTTGTGTGTTGGGTTTTCTTTGATTAACTTGTTGTTGTTGGGTTACTGAAGAAATTTGGTTTAGAATGCTAAGTTACTCCTTAAACTTAACCATGGATTTATTGGGTTTTGTTTGTTGAAATTACTTAAAATTATCACAAAAATGGCAATTCAACCAAATACAATTATCAGAATTTTTTTTTTCTTTTTTTGGAAATTTAGTTTTAGTTGATTGTGATCGAGAAATTTGAAGTTTCTTGGTGGGTCGAGAATGTTTGATTTATCAATTTATCAGATAAATAATTAGAGGCTTTGTGTAATTCACGGTGAATCAAGCAAATACTAGGTTGGGTTAATGAACCTATTCAACGAAATGTTTGTTTGGACTAGAGTTAGTTTACGTTTCCAGTGTGCTACTCTTCAATTTACTATTATTTTTCTAGTATAACAATTACTATCACTTTAAAAAGAAGTACTGTTGAGTTATGTTCACATTTTTATTGGAAGATATTTATTTTTTAGATTTGAGTTTGAGAAACTTCCAACCAAAATAGAGAATTAGAAAATGGAAAAATTAAATAATTGTAACCAAAAATTCGAATTAAATCAAATAAAAAAGTTATCCCTAAATTTAGGGGAATCCGTCCCCACATTTATTAACGAACTAACTGAAAATGGCGGGAAATTGGATACCGCTGACGTTAAC